ACATCCAAATTATGTCTTTGAATGCCCTAATACTGGTCATTATGATGACTGGCATCTTTGTGTATTATCTATCACCACACAGGCTGAAAAATGAAGTGAAAAGCAGACAATGTAGGATCCTCAGTGCTTGAAAATGGTTCTGTAATCTCTCCAATATAGCAATTTGATTTAAAGAATTAAAGAAAGAAAAAAGTCAATCCTCGGTGAAGGACACATTGCTGGTATCCAGCTTAAGATTTCAAACCTCATCTCCAGGGTCTTTGAGGATTTTTAAATCTGAGTCTCATGTGTCTATGAAAACTATCCCTACATGTTTTCTATCCTGATTATAAATTTTCATAGAATATATGGGAAGTCTACTCTTTCATATCTTAACTTGTGCTATATAAGGGAAGGGTAATGGTTGTTGCCTCTATATAGAACTAGAAGGTTCAATAGTAGAGGTAAAAGGGAGATTGTCTTCCCCAGGGGATGTTTGCTGTTTCTCAATAGTCACACCTGTGGCTCATTCTGACCTGAATATAGGGGAATTTTAAATTTTTCTCTCTGCTTCTGCTTTTTGAATTTGATGTTTATTTGTAAACTACCAAGAACATGAATTATAGCAATTAAGATGACTAGCTGATTTGTTTTAATAGTAGTCACCCAGTCCTTGAGTATCTCATGCACATTTTACACAAACTAAACCTGACCAGTGTCTTAGCTATGTTTCCTCCTAATGTATCCCTGGTTAGGATTTAGGAAACTGACAGGGAACTAGTAGGAGAAGATCAGGGAAAGGGAAGAATCAAAGAAGAGTACCATTTACAGGGACCAACCATTCTGACTTCCCTAGACCTGATGTGTTTCTAGAGATGAGAGGCATTAAATGTTACAATTTCAAGAGTATTTAGAAAACCTAGATGTTTTGGTCTTCCTAGCACCATTATATGTTCAGCCCAACAGAAAGAAGCTTAACTTGATACAATAAGCATGCTCCAGAGTGTAAGGTATGCTTTAGAATTGTTCCAACCTGGAGGCATGAGAGCTAGTTTCTATCTTTCTGGACCGGTTACTATTGAGTGACAACAGGCATAGTGGAGTGGCAAGTTCTCTGATTCTTACAGTGAGAAGAGCAGCCTGGTAGCCAGAGAGTGGCCTTTGAAAATAGCTGCAAGCTCTGCCGGAAACATACTTGCATGGTCTGTTATATATCCCAAACAAGTTAACACAAAACACTGCATCAGTTTCTCTGTTCTTCTAGCTGAGTCAATTTGGGTCAGTCCTTCTCTCTTAGTTTCCTAGGGTGACCAAAAAAAAATTAACCACAAATTGGGTGGTTCAAAAAACACAGTAATATGTTGTCTGAAACCTAGGTGTTAGCACAGCCATATTCCATTTGTTACTTGGCTTCTTCCTGAATTACTCCAAGCCTTTCTTCTATTATCTTCTTTCTGTGTCCATATATCTCTATGTGCAATATTCCTTATCTTCAAAATAGTAGCATATTAAATTTAAATCTACTGTCACTCACCATGACCTCATCTAAAGTCCTTATATATGCAAAGATCATGTTTCAAATAAAGTTACATTCTGCCCATTGGACTGTGTGTGTGTGTGTGTGTGTGTGTGTGTGTGTGTGTGTGTGTGTGTGTGTGTGGGGGGTGTGTGTGTGTGTGTGTGTGGGGTGGGTGTGTGTGTGGTACAAGGGGATCAAAGCCAGGAACTCATATATTCTACCTAAGTACTTTGCCACTGAGTTATGCCCTATCTCTAGGGCATGACTTCTAAACGTACCTGCTATACTGTAGAACAAATGGCAAACACATTCAATAACAGCATGCTGTGGAAGCTGTCCTATTACAGTGAATTTTAGTGACTCAGAGAGATGACTCTTATAGCAATCATCATACTTCCATTTATCATGCACTGAACAGGGAACTAGTAGGAGAAGATCAGGGAAAGGGAAGAATCAAAGAAGAGTACCATTTACAGGGACCAACCATTCTGACTTCCCTAGACCTGATGTGTTTCTAGAGATGAGAGGCATTAAATGTTACAATTTCAAGAGTATTTAGAAAACCTAGATGTTTTGGTCTTCCTAGCACCATTATATGTTCAGCCCAACAGAAAGAAGCTTAACTTGATACAATAAGCATGCTCCAGAGTAAAAGCTCAGATGTGGCATATTTGAGCACACTCTCACTAGAACACTGGTCTGCAGAAGGGCTCCACATTAAGGCAACATGTGACTGCATTTGTTTTTACAACAACAATGTGCACTGACAATAATTGTTCCCTCCTGTAAGGTGATTTTGGAATGGCTGCACTCTCTTGAAGAAATATACAAGTTAAACATTTTATTGTATGTCAAAAATGTTTTTTAACATTAAAAGAAAAATTCTAATATTATAGAGTAATTTTAATATTGTTCTTTTATGGGAACTCATTTAAATGAGAAAGTGTACAAAAATCCACTTAAATCTTGGTGAAAGCAAGGTGTTTTTTAAAAAACAAAAACCAAAAATCCAATCTCCTTCTGGTAAGCCTGATAGTGCAGAAGCTGTTCCATCAATTTCTAAGTCTTCACTTGCTAGAAATATTTCCCTTAAAGATGAAGCTAGGAGATTTGCTGCAAATTTAAGAAACACCAAACAGATTTCAAAGTCATAAGTTACCCATTTCCTCATGCCTCAACCAAGAATAACTTACATGTTCAAAAATTATTATTCTGTCCATGATTTGCATCAGTGTTCCATAAGCCATCAATGGTAATGCATTTTAACATTGCTCTAAGTGAATATGTCAACTGGGTTTCTTATATTTTTGGGTTGTGAGCCTAGCCTTTGACAGCTGAGCCATCTCTTTGGTCCTCGACTGGGTTTCTTAATCATCTTCTTCATTTGGTTTGAAGATTTTTGTAGAAGCCACTGGGGGACTTAGCATTGAAAACTGAGACATGAGAGAAGAATTTGTCTCTGCATTTCTAAGTCACAGCTCGGGTTGTGTGAGGTTGGGTGGTTTCCTAATTTCCACCCCCCCCCTCATGTCTAGTACTTATGATTCCTCCTCTATTCTTAGAGGGTCCAAACCCTTCTCTCTGGGGGGAAGACTACACTTTCAGAGCAGTGGTAACCTGGTGTATTATCCAAGTCTTTTTACTCATGTTTACTGGTATGATTGTTCACAACATTTGCTACCAAACACATAAACCTTTATTAATTACGTTCCCCAATTCCCCGTAAACCCCAGACTCTAGAAGCTCATGGCTGTGTGAGCATAAGAAAGCATGCTTTAAAATGTCTGCATCTATCATAATCAATATCTTGGTGGTTTCTTTCCTCCAGAATTTATGATGGCAGAACCGTGATAGACAAGTATGTGTAGAGAAGCCAGATTTCCAATGAACAGACCTGGGCAGGCCTATCACAAATTGAGGCTCTTGAAAAGCAGAATCTGAGAGTTTAGTGTGTAGAGTGTATAAGATTCCCATGACAGTAAGTCCTTGAAACCAATGGTTTTGGGAAAGGGTGGAATAAGGAAACAGGAGTATGCAAGAAGAGAAGTTGAGCTATGATGTGGTCCCAAGCCACAGTTTCAATTGACCTACAGAGAACTTTGTGTATGAAATGGCCTCTTGGAATTGTCTGGGCTTGGGCAGAGAGGTTCTGGTTTTCATAACTTCCTATCAGTCACTCCTTGAATATATGGGGCCCTAGAAGTCTATGTTTGTTTGAGTGAGATGATTTTCTATAGCTGAGTCAGTGTCCCAAGGGGGCTGACAGATGAGGCCACTTTCTGGCACCACCATGGCAACTGAGAATTATAAGACCTTTAACCAGGATTATCCATATTGGTGGGCGTGTGAAGGGGATAGGATATCACAATGTTCAGCAGAAATCCATATTTAAAATGTATAAAAATTGATTCACAATAAATGCTAAGCATTCAAGACTGAGGAAGATGGAGGAGGGTGAGCATAAGCTGGGGTTTGAACGGACACAATGCTATATGGAGGCCCTCAAGATGAGAGCAGAGTTCGTGAGCTGACATGTTCTGATGAAGACATCCACCAGGAGGCGTCCAAGGGTGAAAGGCTGGAATGGTAGAAAAAGGACAAAATTTGTACAGGGACGCCAAGAAGATCGGTTTGCCCGTGGCAGTACATTGAGATGAACTAAAGGAGATGGAAGTGGGGGTTGTAGTTAGAGGGGCTGGAGACTCCTAATAAGCTTTGACATAAGAAGCAATTACTAAACAGTTCACACTGTTGTATACAAAACAGACAAGAGGGTGGTGAAAGCTCTTCATCACAGCATAGCAACAACTTTAGCCATTTTCGTTGCTCACAGAATGTCCGTTAGTGCTCGGACTAGGGTGAATAAACAAGACCCCCAGAATGCAAAATCACTTAATCCTAAGAATGAGTACTTCTTTATAGGCAGCTTGCTTACCTCTTCACATCATTCTAAACACATGTATCAATGGCATTTCAAAGCAAGGCGCACTCCCTTGCAAAAGAGTAAGGCAAGAGCCCATTAGTGTTTAACTTGAATTGTCACAGAGGGCTTTTCTGGGGAGCAGGCATTCTGACTGAGACTTCAAAATATTGTCCATGGACTGGGTGAGGAAGAGCCACATGCACAAAGGCACAGATAAAAATGCACTAGGCTGTACAATTATGTACCTAACCCTCTTACGCTATTTAAAGGTCAAAGAGAGGTCTGTCATGAGGTAGAAAACCATGCTCTACATTTGTCTTTATGACCGAGGAAGACAGAGATTGTCCAGGAAATATGAAAGAATCATTTGCCTTTTTGAAGTCCAGAGGACAGCAAGCAAGCTAATGTGCTCTACTGATCATGGAACATGTAACATCTTTTTAAAAGCAAAGAGAGAGACTGTTTTTGACTGTTGTTTATTTTGTTTTAAGTCATTAGATATGTGTCAGGTAAACGATATAATAGTGTCATGTATAACTAAACTAGTTGCCTAACTAACAGCTATTTTTCTTCTTGTAGGGTTATGAGCCAGATCGCAATATAGTCAAGCTGGCAGAGCAGTATGCCAAGGAGGTATGCTCTTTACTTACAGTATTCTAATTGCCTTTTGCTGTCCCACGGAGTTTTTGTTTTTTAACCAGTGAATTTCTCTGTGCTAGAATGGTACCAAGTTCTCAATGACAAATGATCCATTGGAAGCAGCACGTGGAGGCAATGTATTAATTACAGACACTTGGATAAGCATGGGACAAGAGGAGGAGAAGAAAAAGCGCCTTCAGGCTTTCCAGGGTTACCAGGTTACAATGAAGGTACAAACTGCTGCTTCTCTGAAGGGTCATTAATTGCATTCATAAAGGCTAGAACCACCTCCCCACTCATTCACTTTAGGGACGGTAGACTGGCCTTTCATACCCTATTAAGAACTCACTGCATCACAAAATGGTCCCCCTCCCCTGAAACATTAGTGATATCCTTTGGGAAAAAACACTTACAAAACCTGAGCTGTAGAGAAAATTAAGTACCCCCCCTAACAATAATAGAGGTCCCAAAATGCTTTACTGTGTGCAAGTTTGGAAACATTGGGTTTCTTCTCGTGCGTGCAATTTCTTAAGGTTTCTCCCATAAGGAGAGCCCCATAACTGTGCTTGCCAGGCTAGTTCTTGCTTTTGTTTACCAATGTCTCTTAAATTCATGACAGCTTTGCCAACTCTCCCTAGGGATTCCTAAGGGACACCCCTTCAGTCTAATGTCTTCCAGGAAGATCAGACAAGCTGCATATCAATCTATCCTTTCCTGATTGACTCCTTCCCTTCCCTCAACCTTTTTCTTTTGTTGTCTGTAGTATTGGACATTGTCATGGATCCCAGGGCCTGGTTCATGTTAGGCAAAGAACTCGACCACTCAACTAGTTCTTCCTCCACACACTCTCTGCTTCCATCAATCTTGAACAATCATCAGAATGGCCCATGTGTATTGCTGATCTCAGCTGGATGGCCTCAATCCCAGGGGTTCTAACTCAGTAGTCATGCACATAAGAATTTGTATTCAATCTGATTCCCAGGTGATGCAATTCTGCTACTTGAGGGCCACACTTTGAGAATGTCTTTCGAAAGCATACCCCAAATGACAGAAGCACACTGGGGTGGAGAAGCCATTACACAAAAATTATGAATAAAGTAATAGAAATGATTTTCTTTACATTACATATCAAATAGAATGGAAGTTTGAAAAACACAGCAAAACTGTTTCCCCCTTTTAACAACTATTGTAAACAACATGAGTATTTTCTCTCCTTCTACCTCTCTCTCAACAGTGATTATTTTCAAAGATAGCTATTATATAATATGGTTCTTTTTGGTCCTTTTCTACACATTTACATATGCTTGCCTATTTACATACAAATACTGATTTGATTTTTGATACATGGTACTTTAGACAAATTATTCTCACTTGCTTTTTTTCACTTGACAAAATTTAGATTTTCTTATCAATCCATTTAGATAATTTCAGTTTGGAAAAATGCATTTACTTTCATTTACGTTTTATGTCTATGGCTGTTTTACCTCCATGTAATGTCTGTGCACCACTTACATTCAGTGCCCATTGATGTCAGAAGGGAGCATTGGATCCCTTAGAACTGGAGTTACAGACAATTGTGAACCACCATCTAGGTGCTGGAAATGGAACTTGGCTCTTCTTAACTGCTGTCCCATCTCTCCAGCCCCTGGGTATTTTTGAATGAAGGTTTTGTTAGGAACAGTATGCATGTAAAAAAAAAAAGGCACAAACCTAAGTATAAAGATGATCCTATTTCCACAAAGTGAATTTCCTCCCAGCATCTAGATGGAGAAACATCACCAGTATCCCTGACACTTCCTTCCAGTCACAACTCAATTCCAAAGGTTAACTCTATTTAGATATTTTATTCTTCACAATATTGCACATGAAATTCCAAAGTACAAGTGAATGATAATTTGTTCATAATGATTCCTATTGATATATTAATCTATGTATTTAAAAATCCTAGTTTCAAACAACTCTACCTTATTTATATTTCTTTGTAAAGTGTTACTAGAGAATAATTTCGTTTTAATTATTTATTTTTTACAATTTATTCTTTTAAATTTCATTTTACATTCCAACCACAGTTCTCTCTCCCACCCCTCCTCCCACACCCTTGCCTCCCCTCAGCCCACCCCCGGTCCACTCCTCCTCATGGATGTGGACTCCCATGATAAGTTTCTGAAGGAAGAATTTTTTGTGATGTATTATATAATTTTAAAAATACCAGTGGTTTTCATCCCAACAGGGTGAATAGTTTAAAGTCTTCTAGATGAATATTATTCTTTCTCCATACATCTTTGCAATTTACATTTTACATCTTGTAAGTTAAAGAGAAAATAGTATCTTGTGATTTTAAAAATTTGCTTTATTTCTGATTATGCTAAGCCTTTTTCATATTTATTGGTCATTTCTATTTCTATGCCTTTAAATTGCTATCATAGCTTTACTTGTTTTCTAACCCCTCTTTATCACTGTATTTAGGAGCTTTTGTACACTGTGGTTAATCTTTTGTTATATATGTTTCAAATATTTGGTGGAGCTATTTTAACTTACCTATGGTTTGCCTCCTGCTTGCCTTGGGTGATTGTCTGATTCTGGTACTGTAAGCTTGCAGAATAATAATTTTACTGATGTATGACAGGTATAAATGTTACTTCCTTTCCATCTCATTTTGCCAGTACTTTAGAAGCTCAATTATTCTCAACTTAAAAGTGAAATAAAATTTCAGTACAAAGGCAGTAATTTTGAGGTAAGAAAGCACGAAGCAATGTAGTTTTGAATCTGTAAGCGAAAAACGGAAATGGATGGGGGAATGGTACTTTGGGGAATTAACTGCGGGTGAAAATTGCGAGTGGTAGCACATTTGCATTGGGAGGAAAATAACTAATGCAGAGTGCTCAGAATCCTTTTTAATGTATTCCTACCTCACTGCTTTCCTCAAAATTACTGTGACAAAGTATGCATCAAATGCTAAAACTCGTAATTTGAAAAAGGCTCAAAATATAATACCACTGCACCAGAGTAACTTCTTTGGATATTGGCAACTTTTTCTATCAACTATATATTAGGAGAGTTCATTACTAAAATTGTCCATTACCCTGCTAGACAGAACACCAGAAAAGTGAATTACTGGTTTAACTTGGAGTGATCATCTCCCCAATTTAAAAGAGTGGCTACAAAATGCCATAGGTTAAAGGAATTAATGCATTAGCCCTAGTGTCTTTTTAAAGCTTCACTCTGCCCCTTTACTTTATAGTGATACATTATGCCAGGACAGATGCACAATTGAATACTGAAAATTATATACATATATAAAAGTTAATACTTAAAATGCCATCTTATCCCTATCTCTTTAGACTGCTCAAGTCGCTGCGTCTGACTGGACATTTTTACACTGCTTGCCTAGGAAGCCAGAAGAAGTGGATGATGAAGTGTTTTATTCTCCACGGTCATTAGTATTCCCAGAGGCAGAAAATAGGAAGTGGACAATCATGGTAAGGAAAGGGGTGGGGGAAGGGTAAGAAACTCTAAGTGTGCTTGCAACTTGGCAATTCATGCTTTCAGGTAAATAAACAACCAAGGCTATCCAACTGTATTGATTGCTCATATGGCATCTATTTTTATTTTTAGATTATATTTTATTTAATTATTTCTGAGTGCAGGGGTGGCATACACTTAAAATGGCATGTAATTGGAGGCCAGGAGAAGTTTTTGCAGGAGTCAGCTCTTTACTTTCACCATGTGGCTTTTGGGGGCCAAACTCAGATCCTCATACTTGGTGGCAAGTTTTCTTTACCTGCTGAGCTATTTTGCCAGCCTAGTATCTATTTTTGTTCACAAGTCAGTATTCCTTATTAGCAAATATAGTATATTTTAATGAACTAAACTTGATCCCCTTCCAAATTCATTGATTTTAAACAAAATTCTTAGTGCTGTGAGAAGTAGCTACTATTATTGGCCACCTGTTACATGTAACAGAATTTTTTCGATTTTAATCTGTGTTCAATGAAGCTAATTCAGTGCCTGGTATAAAATGGGCTATCAAAAATTAGCCTTTCTTTCTTTCTCTCCCTCTTTTCCTTTATCGTTCTTTTCCTGGTACCTTAACCAAATGACTGTAATTCTCTGCTTGACTTTGACCATATAGATATATGTGTTTATAGATCTAGAACATTTTCAAAATTCATGTCAAATTTTAGTCCCTTTCAGATGAAGCCATTGGTCATCTTTATCACTGATATGCTAAGAAATAGCAACCTTAAAACTACTTTGCAATATTCAGTGGGAAATTTCTCTGGAAAAGTGAAAACACACATTCTGTTAGTTAGTGCCACCATTTTAAAGCAGTTTAACCAATCTCAATTACTATACTAGCAGAATCTTAACTGTAAACAGCAGACTCCATCCTAGGTGGATAAATGGAAATAGATTCATTAATAGGCATTAAAAATCTCTTGGGAGATGAAATACAGTGAATCATTATGGAGCATCACATAGCAAGAACATCACAGGCAGGGGGATTACACCAAATTGCTGTGAATGTTTTATAGCCAGAAAAATTGGAGATACAACCACCCACACAGCCTGGTATCTAGGGCAATTGAAATCAGATGAACTAGCCAAAACAGATGCTTCTACCTGCACATGAAACAGAAGATTCAACCTTTCAGAGAATGGCTTCCATTGTGTGTCGTTCACTTGTATATCCAAGTCTTCAGCAGATACAACTTATTGCCATTCCTGCACTAAAGCTTCAAGGAAACCTAGGCAATGTAGTATTAGCTTCTAATAACCATAGTAGAATAAAGCAAGTCGGGAAGGACTACCTTTTTATTCTTTAGTGTCTAAAGTATTGTAAGTATTATAATTAGCATCATAATTATTTTATCTGGTGTTGATCTGATACAGTGAATAGCGGGACACCAATTTTGGTTAAAATTGCAATTGCTCTGTCATCTAGGCTAGTCCCTGAAGATTTAATGTTCATTTCACTCATCAAGCATCTTGCTAGGTGAAAGTTTGGTTCTGAGATGGGGCTGAAGAGTTGGTATTTCTAATGAGGACTAAGAGAACTTAGGTGCCATTGTATTATGGAGCACCATTTGAGTAGTAAAGATCTAGATGATAAAAAATAGAAAATGGGCTGGACGGTGGTGGCAGACACCTTTAATCCCAGCACTCGGGAGGCAGAGGCAGGTGGATCTCTGTGAGTTCGAGGCCAGCCTGGTCTACAAGAGCTAGTTCCAGGACAGCCTCCAAAGCCACAGAGAAACCCTGTCTCGAAAAACCAAAAAAAAAAAAATAATAATAATAAATAAATAGAAAATGGAAGCTCTCCAACTCTATTTTTCATCATTGAAATGCTATTACTGATCATATTTATTTATTTATTTATTTATTTATATTGATTGATTTTTATTTTTAAAATAATCTTTTCTCATTTTACATACCAATCCCAGTCCCTTTCTCTCCAATCCTGCCACTCCCACCCCCAGCCCGCCATCTCCCAGCCCACCCCCCATCCACTCCTCAGAGAGGGTAAGCCCTCCTATAGTGAGTCAAGGAAGTCTGGAACCTCTCTTTAAGACTCGACCAAGATCCTCTCCCCTATATCTAGGCTGAGCAAGGTATCTCTCCATAGGGAATGGGCTCCAAAAAGTCAGTTTAAGCACTAGGGATAAATCCTGGTCCCACGGCCCAGTGGCCTCACAGACTGCCCAAGCCACACACTATTTTAATCAGAGGGAAATTGAAGTTCCAAAGATGATCCAAGTAAATCTGTTAAGGCATAACTGATTAAGAAACTTGGCATGAATGCTGAAAAGGTGGCAGCACATGGCTGTACTCCTAATGGCTATGCTGGAGGATTTGGAGGTCTCTTGGGGTTCCATTCATTTCAGCCACATGATTTTAGCTTCCAAACTTTGCCAAATACTCTGCCAGGCACTGGGGGATTTAAAATGACAATACAAGAGGATAATATGCAACCCTTACACAGCCTTTTACATTTTCAAAGTGCAGAACATTTACAAGCAGAATGAGACCTGAGAGGTCATCTCGACTGCATTCCTGTTTTACAGGCAGTGAAACTCTTCTCTGCTTGTTCAGAATGGCCTTTAGATTCAGCACCACTGTGATAATTTTGACAGGATGCTATAAATGGACAATACCTGACAATTGTTCTATCAATCCAGGAGCCACTAGGTACACATAGCTATTTAAATTTATTTTAAACTTAATAAATTGAAGATTCAATTTCTCGGTCAAACTAACCTCAAACCCACATTAAGTGTTCAATACTGTATGGAGCTAGTGGCTACTATATTACACAGCAAGGCAGCCTTTCCATCACTGCAGACAGCTCTATTGAACAACCCTACTCTGGGGAATGATTTTCTACTATCTAACTTCATTTAAAATCAAAATAGAAGGAAGAAGAAAAGATACGACCTTACTTCCATGTCTGAGATGCAAACAATGACTACTAGAAGGTATATCGCTCAAAGACGGTAGAGCCTGTTCCTAAAATGTGTAAGATCTTTAAGCAGAAGTGTGCTCATTCAGTTCCTTTGGAAGACCTCCACACCAAGTACTTTGCCACAGATCCTTTCCCAGCATTCTCGTGAACACATCATTCTCTCTGTAGTGCACAGGCCTTTAGGCTCTTTCATTTTAAAACATTAACAAAAGGCACCCTTTCCTCTCCAGAAAGTTTGGTTTTGTATTTTTATATGATTAGTAAGAAAGCAATACTTGCAAAACTCCTGGTATATTTTTTCTTTTGTCTACATTTTTTAACCCATGCTACTAAAGTAACCTAAAGAGACTCCTTAAAAATGAAAATACTTAAAAACATTGCTATCTGGATGGTCCTTAAGTATGGAACACCTTTGCAAATACAATTCACAGTACTTGAAATCATTCACTTCTCTCCAAGCTAGGACTGGCAGATTAAATGCATTATGCCCCATTACATTGAAATTTCAGATGAACAATGCATTTTTAATATAAATATATTCCATAAGGTATACTTATAGTAAAGATAAAAAAGTATTGTTTAGCTGACATCTCTATGTAAGTATAATTTTTAATTCGAGTCTATCCGGCAACACTGCCCATTTCTAATTGTGTGTGTGTGTGTGTGTGTGTGTGTGTGTGTGTGTGTGTGAAGATCAGTTTGACATGTTGTATGAGTATGAGCAATAAAAGAAGACTGAAAATGCAGACCTATAACTCCTAGAAGAATTAAAACAGTTTTGTCTCTTACATGTTTTTGTCCTAGAATGGCCTCCCTGGGTCCTTTTCCATTTTATCAGTGTCTCTCTTTACCAAGGCCTCCCTAGGCTGTCGTCCACTCTAACTTGATTCTTCAGCATCCTTTTAACTACTTTAAAATTTTATTGTCTAAAAGTAACACCTTGTACGTTTTTCTCCTACTGAAATGAGAAACAATGATCATTCCTAAGAATAATGACCTGGTCTGTGATGTTCTGAACTATGTCTAGAAGAGTGCTTGTAACATATCCTAAATATGTGATGGAAGCATTTTTTCTCTGAAGGCAGTATATGATACTGGTCTGGGAATGTAGGCTTTGAAAAATGGTTTTAAATTTAGTTTTCTGATCTTGGGGAAATATCTTAACTTCATTTAACCAAATTTTCTCACATGAAAAAAACTGAGGCTAAAAACAGAAGCAGATTTCAATGGTCTTGAGAGTTTAATGAGGCAAGAGTTATCTGAGCACAGAGATGAGATTCCCAGGACGAGCATGGATGTACCCACTTTTTACCACCAACCATTCAGAAGAACTGTACCTCATCTTTATTATTTATAGTTCATGTATCTTACCACTGCATATATTATAAAAGGTCCTAAAATGGTATGATGTACAGAAACCAGGCAGCTCAGGCTAGCTGCCTAAAAGTACATTCAGGGGACTAAAGAGATAGCTCCACAGTTAGGAGTGCCTACTGCTTGTGTCAAGGACATGAGTTCAGTTCCCAGCATCCGCAAAGGGAAGCTGATAACCGCCTACTAACTCCAGCTCCAGGGGATCCAGAGCTCTCTTCTGGATTCTGTGTACACCTGCACTTAAGCACAATTACATGCACATGCCCACACACAGATGCACACATATTCCCACAATTAAAATAAAATATGTTAAAGCATATTCAGTGAACTTCTTTGGAACACAACACTGCCTTGCTGCTGTAGCCAGTGGACACTGGTACAGCACGCTTGCTTAGAAGAATGTACTTCAGAGGCAACACAGATGCTTCTTTTTTATCATTTTTGAGACAGGGTTTCTCTGTGTAGCTCTGTAGACCAGGCTGCCCTTGAACTCACAGAGATCAGCCTGCCTCTGCCTCCAAAGTGCTGGGATTAAAGGCGTGCACCAACACTGCTCTGCCCTAAAATTGCTTCTTAAGAGGAGAGTTGGCTGAACAAGGCATCCCTCCAGAGAATGGGCTCCAGATAGCCAGTTCAAGCCCCAGGGATAAATCCTGGTCTCACTACCAGTGACCCTACAGACTGCCCTATCCCAGTTCTCTCTCCCTCTTGTTCTTCTGCTGCCCCCAACTTCTCCCCCCCCACACACACACACCCATCCACTCCTGAGAGAGGGTAAGGCTTCCCATGAGGAGTCTACAAAGTCAGTTACATCAAATGGGGCAACACCATTGCCCTCCCTCCTGTATCTGGGCTGAGCAAGGTTTCCCTTCATAAGGCTCCAAAAAGCCAGTTCAAGCACTAGGGATAAATCCGGGTCTCACTGCCAGTGGTCATAGAAACTGCCCAAGCCTCACTACTGTCACCCACCTATGCGGGTTTCCACACTGTCAGTCCAGAGTCTGAGCTCCCACTAGCTCAGGTCAGCTGTCTCTGTGGGTTTCTCCCAAATGGTCTTTACCCCTTTGGAGCTCCTATTATTGCTCCTCCCTCTCTTAGACTGGACTCTGGGAGCTCGGCCCAGTGCTTAGCTGAGGGGAAGGAGGGCATAGCAGGAGGAGAGGAGGGAATGGGAACTGGGATTGGTATGTAAAATTGGAAAATACTGTTTTTAAAATATAAAAAATGACAAAACCAGCAAAATTACACAAAAAAGTAGAATCGGAGAATTCAGCTTTAAACCCACTACTGCCCTATCTGCTCTTTCATTTCTAAATGATGACAGATGCCTACCTTAGAAGGTCATTGCATTAAATAAGATAATACATGAGGGTTCATTTCTAGCTCACCCAATCATCTAGCCTAGTGGTGGGCAAATATTTTTGGCTAGCAGATAATAAGGTATTTAGTATACTATACTGATACGTACCCTAACAAATACTTGATGTGTAGTGGTGGTGGTGGTGGTGGTGGTGATGGTGGTGTGTGTGTGTGTGTGTGTGTGTGTGTGTGTGTGTGTGTGTGTGTATCCACTATTATTGTTTCTGATAACTTTCTACTGTCCCTAGCATGGATATTGAGGAAAGTAAGATAAAATTGACAATAACTATTTGTGGTTGACAGCCAAAGACCAAGTTACACTCTTGTCTATAAAGCTAACCTTATTTTCCAGAGGACAAAAATTCCAGAGGCATTTATCAGCCTGAATAGTTTACATTTATTACTTACATATGGCTTCTCCCAAACTTCTCTAGGTTCAAAGTGGCGAAGCCACAGAGTAAACATAATGAACAGGGTTAGGAGGGATTATATGGCAATAAAACCAGCCAGTATGCATGTTCAAACTACTGACTGGAACACCCAGTCATTTCGAGCACCATGGCTTCACATTTCAGTCTCTGACCTGGAATGAATCCTAAGTAAGCATGGTGCTTATGAGTATATTTGAGTCTGTCTAATCCCTCAGGACCTTCTTTTATACAAACAAAAATGAGTATCCTTTGAGAACTGTTCTCTTATCATGTCCTTGGGAAAACATATTTTAAGTCTAGGTGTGGGAACCTCAAACCTAATTCTCTTGTTTTAGGTCCTAAGGCAGAGTGTTGCTAATGTTTATCCATTTCTTTCTCTTTCTTATGTCATCCCAGGCTGTCATGGTATCCCTGCTGACAGACTACTCACCTGTGCTCCAGATGCCAAAATTTTGATGCTTCGATGCATGTCAAGAGAAAATCACTGCTCTTTAGCAACAGAATAAGTCAGTTTATGGGAAAAGAGAAGAATTTAAAATGTAAACAAACCCCTAATACATGATATGAGTAACATATGTCATTGGTTTGTTATTGTGAGACTTTATTGAAGCCTCTAGTTTAAGTGTCAAGGCCCTTTAATACCCTGCTTGACTGGGTTTAAACTCACTCTTCAGTTCACAATTACTGAATGACATTTTGGTATCATATTAATTATTATACACACTTACTTCTATTAAACATAAAACACTACACTTAAAATGTATAATGTCTTACTCATTAAATTTAACCTATGCTTATTACCTTAATAAATGATCATTCGTGCTCATTTATAAATAAACATTTGCCAGGCAGTCAACTGCTAGCAGGTCTATGGGCTATGTTCACTGGCCTTAAGACCAATGAGAAAATTAAATGACAGACATCCTGCAAATAGAGCACAATTTTCAGGCCAATGAGGAAGTCAGTCACAGAAGAAATCATGAAATTGTTTAAAAATAACAACTTGACCATGAGGAAGTATTTTTCCAGTCATTTATGGGAAGATGGGAGACCTTCAAGAGCATACATCTCTCTACTTATGGACTACTTCATGTTACAAATGGAAAGAAGCTCTGTTAGGATATGGTAAAGCCGTGGGTTCCCATCCAGGAATGCAGGTCCATTGGAGACTGACATATCCTTTGATTCTGATTTTTCCACTAGGAGCAATTTAATTTTTCACATCTGTGTTTATCACAAATTTACTCATATACACATTGACTATTTACATATATCTTCTATTTGCCATATTTTAGCTTGTCATTTTTTCCATACCTGGGATCATCACAATTTGAATAGATCTCCTTTGTGGATTATCAAAATGTATGTCATCAAATGACTATGATATGTTTTTAAATGTTTTTAGTTGAAATCTTAAATAATATAGGTAGTTGTTCTTGTAAACAACAATTTTACACAGGACCAAATAATGCAATTTACTTTATATTCCCTTTCTATTTAAAAAAAGGTTTTCAGTTTGGTTGACTGATATTGTTTAACAGACATTTATGACTTAAATGAGTAAGCAAGATGTGAATAAAAATTAGATTTACAATGAAGATACAATAAAACATTCTATAATATCATGAAAAATATCGAACTTTCCAGTAAATGTCAAAAGTGACCTTCACATCTATTGAAGTTTATTGTAAGCATTTAAAAGAGAAATAGAATGGGGTTTACTGGAATATCTTCTTTCAGCAAGGAATATTGGAACAATTCAACCAGAAGGTACTAGCTATATGGACTATGAAGGCTCACCTTCAAACTACTACATTAAAAGTAATGAGACTAGGGTAATGGCTCAATTGGTAAAGTACCTGCCAGCATACAAACATGAGGATCTGAATTCGGATCTTCAAATCCATGTTTAAAAAGCTAGATGTGGTTTGTGTGTGTGTAACCCTAACACGGCCATGGCAGAATGGGGAGTGTAAGCAGCCTGATACCCAGAGTTCATTAGATAGTCAGTCCAGGCAGTAGGTGAGCACCAGGTTTAATGAGTGGACCCATCTCAAAAGATAATGTGTAGAGCAACTGAGGAAGATAGCAGATGTTGAACTTTGGCATTTGTATACACACATGGAGAAACACATGTACATATACACAAAGTCATATCTTTCCAAGTACCAGATGGTCTCCCATGTGATGGGCTCTCATACTTTACCTGAGCCAAATGTATGGTCTAGTGTTGTTCCTAAACCAGAAATAACTTGAAATCATTTTCTATGGTAAAAACTGTAGTTAGTTTTTCCTCAGAATTCTCCAAGTGCTCTGTTCCACATGATTTAACTTCTATTTAAAAAAAACTGGAAAAAATTGTTAGCTCTGAAAACTTTTCTTTTTAAGAAAGCATTATTTATATCATCAGAAAAAAATAATCAAAGAAGAAAGTTTGACCTTAAAGTGTTTTCAATGCTGTTTGTATCTTCTTACATTTTCCTCCTTGTTCTACCTGCCCTTTATATAACTACTACAACTCCAGAGATTAACAAAACTGTAACAGTGACCCTTGGGTCCCTGGCATATATAAGAAATCCTATCCATTTAATTAACAAAACTATCCAAAGAGTTTTTTCTTCCAAGCTCTCTCTGCTGTAACACTGGGAATAGAAAAGCACACATAATTGCACTCCAGTGATTTCTCCATTGGGAAGGAATCATCAGTAGTGTTTTATTTTATTTTTGGTGATCAATCTTTAGTTACTTCCAGAAAGACAATTAAATGTCAGATATTTCTAATACGCATAGTTCTAATGATTTGACTAATGTAAAATCCCAGGGTAGAAACAGCGTCCCAGAAGATCAACACCTGACACCATGTTATACTTCTTATGCATGTATATTAGTTCCTTCCTGTATCATTATGACAAAAAATAACTGACAAAAGCAACTTAAAATAGGGGTTTATTATCCTGAAGGTGCATCAGTCATGGTGGCAGGAGCTTGAAGTTTATTCACATCTGGACAGTTCAGGAAGCAAAGAGCTCAGTGTGGACATAGAACCAGGCTGCAATCCTCAAAGACCTATCGCCAGTGACCCACCTTTATCTGTGAAACTTGTAACATGGATTATAATAGGTCTTAATAATAAAAACCCAGAGTCAGATATTAAGGGGTGAAAGCTGAAAGATCAGAGAAACAGTGCAGCCAGCCACTAGAGCTCTACGAAATCCTCAGACTGAAAAGATACCAAGTTCCTGTCTCCTCCTGCCTATATTCCTCTCTCTGTCCAGCCATCTCACTTCCTGTCTGTCTCTACAGACCTCCATACCTCCATGGTTAATTAGTGGCTAGCTTCACCCTCTGATCTTCAGCAAGCTTTATTTGTTAGAGTATAAAGAAGATATCACCACAGAAGATTCCCATCCTGTATGTTTCACAGCATTCCAAAACATGCGACCTATTAGGGACCAACTATTCAAACACATGAGTCCATGGAGTGATAGTTTATATTCAAACCATAATGACACATAACACTGGAACCGTAGTTAGCATGCTGGGGATTCCTTGTTCCATTGCTAAAATTCCAGGGCAAGTCTTCTCAAGTGATCATAAGAGTGGAGAATGCATACTGATTGAGAAGATAGCCAGGACACATTCCTTCAGGACCTTTTTTGTTTTAGAAGTTCTCATTGATGACTTTTTAAGTCACGTCTTGAGAGATGGAATGACTCAGTGGTGCTTTCAGGATTGTTACCTTTGACAAATATGAAGGGTAATAATGAAAATGGAAAGTCAGTCAAGGGGTCCTGCAAGCAGAAATGTCTTTGGTGCTGTGCAAGTTGTACTCTGGCCAAATCCACAAGGAAAAGTCCAAGTCAAGGTTGAAATCTAATCTGTACCTCAGTGACAATCTTGTGTTGCCTTTGCAGGCCTCTTAGCCAGGACACATGGCTTTTATTGTTGCTGTTGGAACTTCTCCCCTCAGTGGGGACATTTTTTCAGTGTTGCATATGTCTGAATAGGTGCTTTGTTCTCATGAACACAAAAGGCTGGTATCCTTTGGTAAGTAATCAGCCATCTACAATTTACATCAGGCAGTTTTTCAATATCACCTTGTACTTGAGGACAAGGCACACAAATAACACAGCAATTATTTTGATGTCTTGCCTCATTTCCTGCTGTGTTCTTTAAGAGCCTACAGTAGAAAAATTATGGCATTTGATGATTTTTTTGTGGAATGCATACATGACACAAATCATCGAAACAAAGATTTGAGGATCAACTTTGCAGTTCTATGATATTACAAAAATATTCTTCTTTAAAATTATCAAGAAAAAGTATTATCAATTATTGATAAAAGAATCATAGTCCTATCAAATGGCATGGGATTCCCTGTCATGGGTCATGGGCTGTCTCCAGAGCAAGTGCCAGGATAGGCTCCAAAGCTACACAGAGAAACCCTGTCTCAAAAAACCAACCAACCAACCAAAAAAACAAACAAAAAACCAAAAAAAAAAAAAACCATTCCAGTCTTATTAATAATTGATTTTGTCAATAATACTAGATTTAGTTTTTAGTTCATGTTTTTGTGAAACAGCTATTTTCTGAACAAAAACCATTATTCAAATGAATTCTGACAGCTGGGGAACCAGCATAGGAGTGATCCAGGTCCCCTGAACGTGGGTGTCAGTTGGGAGGCCAGGGAAATGCACTGAGTTTGGGAGCCCATTCTCTATGGAGGGATACTCTCTCAGCCTAGATACATCGGGGAGGGCCTAGACCCTGCCCCAAATGATGTGACAGACTTTGATGATCCCCCATGGAAGGGCTCACAAGAGTGAATGGGGCGTTGATAGAGACATAGGAGATTGGAAGGGAGAGGGAACTGGGATCAGTATGTAAAATAAGATTGTTTTTAATTTAAATAAAATTTATTTTAAAAATGAATGGAGCAGCATTTAACAGTAATTCACTATATACCTTCATCTTACAGGGAAAATTAATAAATAACAAGTGTTTCTAAAATTAATATATATTCAACTGACAAAGGTGATTGATTCTTGGGCTAAGTACTCCTTTATAAACTGTTTAGGGTGTAATCACTTGGCTTGATTTATCCATAGGTGTGGCTGAGAATAGGAAACTGGCTGATCCACAGTTATGGTTCTGTGGTGTCAGAGGCAATACAGGAAGGAGGAGAGATCTCACATGAGGCAGAGATAGACACCAGCATCTAAAGCTGTTTCTTTAGATCACAAAAACATCCATGTAATAGTTGCTGGTGCGGTTCCCTCTGGGTTTCTTTACCTGGATTTATTCACTCTACCCCTCCCCCATCCCTGGCTGTTATGGTTTTCTAATAATGGCTCTCAGCTACCCATTTCTCTCAAGTACTGTTCTCAGGATTCAGGGAACATTTAGGCAGGAAGTCACATTCACTGCCACCCTGTAACCAACATACTTAACTTCCCCTCACTGCTCTAATCTGTTTCCTTTCTTCTGAGAATGCTTCCTCAGTACATCGCTTACACCAGAATTCCCACCCCAGGCTCTGCTTCCAGGAAATTAGATCAAATATGTCTTTGAATAA